AAGAAGGAATAAGTATCACTCACTTTTCTAACTTTACCAAGACCATGAAGAGTGAGTAGTTCTTCATTCACTCTTTAGTAAGAGGTGATGAACATGTATTAATTATCCGGAAGTTATATTTGTACATCTCCTTTTTGCTTTAATGCTTTAAAGTTTACTTGCTTATTGAATAATTGAATGCATCTAGCAAAACTAAGGTATTTTGTATAACTATAGATTTTTTCTATGTCATGGATGATTCTTACATAGAAAGATTCGTTGGTTCAAGGCAAGTACTTCGGCTAGATCTTCATGATAACATTTTAATCTTCACCATTAATGTGTTTTATCTAAAGAATGGAACATTAATGTCATGGTTGGATGCCTTGTAGAAACACTTGCTTGTTTGTAGACGGGTTGAGTCTTGGTATAGACAATTCTTGTAAACTTCTAGAAAGACATCGGAACCATGTGCTTAATTCTCATAGTCCATCTTTATCTTCCGAGTAACTTGCTGTTGACACGAGAGTTAATTGAGTTATAAAGCACAAGTATAATAAACCGGATGATTAATTACATGTTTTGATCCTCGAACTAAATGGTGGTTGTTACATTTGATAATTTATCTTATACTTTGTCTAGAAAAGTCCATTGGAAAGAATCTTATATTTTATCCAGAAAATCTCATAACTTCAATACTCTTAAAGTATCTAATTGATTGGTCTTTGTCACTACTTAATTCAAAACACTAATCATAGTTTCCTGTGGATTCGACTTCGGACTTAATCGGATTATTACTACAGCTTGACCGTCTGCACTTGGGTGTACACATTTCGGATTAAGTCAGTAACCGCCACTTGTGTTCAAATTATTAGTTCAGAATTTTTGGTTTTGTTTTGGTTTGAATTACTACTGAATTAGATTTGATTTATGTTGGTGTTTTCTTCTTTGTTGTTTTGTTTTTGATTCAATTTATTATTCTATTTAGTTGCTGCAACACTGGTGGAGAACATTAATTTATGTCTTTTGAAGGTGTTTGGTTTCTTTTTTTGTTGCTTAAAGAATATATGTGACTTGGGAGTTTTGTGTCTATTGATTTGGTTGGCTTAGAGTAATACATAATTTTTTATTTTAATCTTTATCTAATAAAACACAAAATAAAAAACATATTATTTTAACCACACATTGTTGCTTATAATGTATTATTTGCTATCACATGTTAAGAGATTATAAAGTGAGTTAAAATACACTGCATCTCTTGTCTACAAGTATTTCTAAACAAATCAATTAGTTAGACATTAGTTGTGAATTAAATTACGAATGTTCATTTTGTGATGTGTGCACGGTCTTTGGAGTTCTTCAGCTATAAGTCTTTAGTCCTATCAAAGGATGGTTTTAAAGTAAGAGATCGGTGTGGTCCCGATCGGTGTGAGAATATAAAATATATTTTATTATATACATTTATTGGTAATATTCATATCTTAATTTTTTAATTTTTCAGATATTATTTTATTACGATTTTCATATCGTAACATACATGTATCTCATATTCTCATATCTGTTATTTCTAACACTAGACCAAGGTTCTCGAATCATAACAAAGACTGAACCAGTGCAATCAGGTTCAATACATACAAATAGTTTCCCACACACACACACAAGAAGAGTGAGCAAAACTGGACTCAAATTCACGGAATTGGTATGGCCCATAATATTAGGCCAGCTATTGGATATGACATATGGACAGGTGAAAGTGATTGAGGATCTGCCAACCCCCAGCAGCTAGGATAAACAACTGTGATATGGGAAAAATTGAAAAACAAGGTGTGATGTTATGTCAGAGTGCATCTTTAACTTCTGAACTTCAAGAAATAAAAAATATGTTACATTCTAACTCAAAACATGGCTGTTTTGTAAAAACAGATGTGTCATCAACTTGAATAATCTTTTCAGCATGTTTACACACTTTGCAAAACCCAAAATAGGACAGATGTTGCAAGCCTCTGCATGAAGTAAGTGCTACAATAATAATTAGCGAAAGATGGTAAGAAATTGGCCAAAAATCGTAAAATAAGTGATACGACAACCAATCAAGAACGATCCAGGAATTAAGTGTTATGACTGAACTAAAAAGAAGTCGTTGGGCTTGATAAGGGTAGCATGGGCATCGTAATCGTCACAGAAGAAAAAACTTAGTCATAACACCTACACTTGATTTCTTCAAAAAACCTTGCAGCATATAATTTTCAGCACTAATCTCTCTAAATCCTAAAATTTTCATTTTTATCATACACAGCCCTTGGCAACAAGATCAATTCTCAACCAGCCCAAGCTGGTCTGCCCAAACAAAAAAGGTCAGAAACCACCAGACTAACAACATAACAAAGTTCCACAAATGGAATGCCAGTGGTGATAGAAAAAGCAACACAGTATACTGCAAGAACATTTTCCCTGGAGATAAAAGCTATGTATAAAGAAGGAACAATATGATTACTGACTTCAAGATGGCATGAGTACCTGTATGGTATGTGCTTATGAGTCAGAAGATCTCTATACTTCTTAGCAAGACCGAAGTCAATAATGTATACCTGTGATAAGACTTAGGAATGTCACTGAGCTTATACTGAACCAGGGATCATGAAAATGTCATTCATGATTTATAGATTTAAGTATTACAATAAAAGTTATTACTTATGAACCATTGAACATGGTCTATATAACATACAAAAGTTCTGACCAGCAATTATTTCAAAAGGTTTACATTAAACAATGTATAGTAAGCAAGTGGTTCAATCGAAAAAGGAAAAAAGGACCAAGAGAAAAACCAAAGTAGGACTGATTTTTATCACAGATGGTGAAAACTACATAAAAAGCACATTTATCCCACATTTAGCAATTTTGTGCCAGCCCATTCATAAATCTATCCACTTCATTGGAGTGCAGTTTCTTTCCAAGCCACAATATATCCTCTTGTCTTGAAGTATCCTCAACCCCTTTTTTGTTTTCTACAAGCCGAGGTACTATATATTAGTCTGTCCAATGAATTTGAAATGATTTTTGTGTTGCAGAAATCTTACCAAATTAGTAATTTTTTGTTATGGTTTCATTTTCAAAAATTCAGGGCGAGTCAGTTTATTATAGGCTTGAATAAATATCTAGAAGCTGTTGACCATGGATTTGCAGTTGGCATGAGATTTAATATGCGATTTGAAGGGGAAGATTCTCCAGAAAGTAGTGTAATATCCATAGGATGGTTTTAGAAAGTTGTGTGTAAAGTTGCTGTAAAAATTCTTTTGATTAATCAGGTTTACAGGGACAATGATCGGGGTTGAGAATATTTCTTCTCAGTGGAAAGATTCTTAATGGTGATCATTGAGGTAAATGTCCTTGACCATCTATCTTCTATTTGTTTGAAATTATGGCAGAGAAGAAAAGTAACACTCCTTATTTTGCCCAGGTTCAATGGGATGAGCCAGCATCCATTGCAAGATCCGATAGGGTTTCTCCATGGGAGATAGAATCTTTTGCAGATTCTGGTCTTACAAGCCTGGTTCAACCTGTGCCAGTGAAGAATAAAAGACCCCGACCACCAATTAAAATCCCAGTTCTTGGTGAGCTGATCGTCCCTTCATTCTTTCAATGTTCTGTACATTGTCTAGATGTATCATAATTTCTTTTTTTTTGATTTTGTATTCTTTTGCCATCTGTGTTATAGATACTGCGTCTTCAGCTGTCTGGCATCCGTCACATGATTCAATATCTTCAGCTGTCTGGCATCCCTCCCATGATTCAACTAAATTAAGTGGTACTGCCGACAGACACAGGACGGAGAATCATATTCCAACTCCCATGAACTGTAGCCGCAACGGTATTTTGAGGATGCAGTGGAGGGAGGGTAGACATCCTCTTCCCATGTAACTGCTTCTCGGAAGATGAATATTGATGAAACTGAAGAGAGTAGAAGTGTTTCGGCTTGGTCTGTTCCCTCACACTATTCGGCTTGGGCTGTTCCTATTTCGATCTCTTCCTCTTCCTCACTTCTTCGTCCATTCGATCATCAATTTACCATTGTTCCAATCTTCTCATTGTAATCGAAGCCAATTTTATGCCACCAAGATCACACCCTCAGAGTATTGGATCCAAAGGTAAAACATATCACATCTCTCTCTCTCTCTCTCTCTCTCTGATTTTTTTTTTTCGGTATTAAACTGTGATCTCTGCATTGTTTTGTACGCATTTCCTTCTGTAGCATTGTTAGACTCTATATATATGGCCCACCTACATCTATTTCTGATGAGTAAATCAACAGCGTATTAAATGTATAAATTCATTCCATTGCAAGTTAAATCGACCATCTTTTTATTGTTTTACTTCACTTGGAGCTCGTGGCATTCAATGTCATCGACTGATAATTTGACTATATTTTGAATCTGTCCCTTGTAAATACATTAATCCATCTCATCTTTATTAGACTCCATACACTGGACTTATCTGGGTTTAGTAAAAAACATAGTATTCCAAAGTTAGTTTGTTTCTTTTTCTTTTCATTTCATATACTTTCTCATTTGCCAATACTTGCTAAAGTCAGGAATGGAGTAAGGAGTAAATGTAAATGCAGTCCTAATACATCAACCGCTTTCACATACTTCATCAATTAAATTACGTGGGTTTGTCGTTTCATTTCTGTACACAAAGGAGTTACTCATGCTTCATTTGGCAGCATGGCATTGGGGCTTTGGAATTGGAGTTAAGATAGTTAGTTCACAGTTCAAATTATAGTTTAGCAATTCCAAATTACAGCCTCAATACCATGCTCCCAAACTGAGCATTAGCTTTGTCTAATCACAAAGCGTACGAAATTAATTATGCATATATGGGTTTCTCAGTTTTATTGTACTTGTGGAGTTGTTGTTGTGAACTTTCTGTTTAATTTGATTAACACTTACCAGTATTTCCAAATTGATCTTTTTCAGGCAATACAACACATAAAGAACTTCGATGGGGCTTTATTAAAGTAATTCATGGCTGATAATATTATGGAAGAAGAAGAAATACAACAGCTTGGAAAATTGCTGGTAGAGATATACAAACTCATGAAGGTGGTGGTGACCACGGGATTGTATTCTCCCCCAGCTGCAAGGTACACCATGGTCACCATACTTTGAGATTCTGTATGATATAGTTTTCTTGAATGTTTTGCCTTTTATGGCTTAATACATTCCATCAAACCTTCACTTGGTGGTCCTATCAATGCTATCAACTCTGCAGGAATGATGGGCCAGCCATCAGCCTGTGTATTGGCCATGAAAATGTATGAGGAGCATATGAAACTTCCTCATTCAATGGATTCAGAGACATCTCCAGTTCTAATGGACCCCAATAGGATGGCCCTTCTCAAGTCAGCAACTAATCACCAAGGGTAACAGCCATAGAACTTTACTGTTTTCTTGAGATCAAATAAATCACGGCCAATCGACCTATTATGATTGCATCATTGGTTACCGTTCCAAACTTTCTCATAATTTCTCTGATCATATGTACACTGGTTCATTGAACTTTGCTAATAACCTCTTAGACCAAGTGTATTGTTTCCTCATTTTTACACATATAACAGGGTGATTAAGAAGTTGATTTTCCCAATTGATGTTATGGTTGTGTTACATGCTACGAAAATTATAGCAATCACAGGTTTGTGCGAAGTATCGGTTTTTGCTAGGATCTGTTGGGTTAGATATAGTAGATTGTTCATGAGCTCCCTTTTTTGTTGTTGTTTCAACTGCATTGTAATGGATTTCTACATTCCTATTGCGTATTCATCAATTTTAAATCCATCCACTAATCAAAGTTCATGTTCCCCATCGTAGTTACAAAATTCAAAATCTACACCAGCAAGTTCTTGGAAAAAACAAAAAAAAAAAGACTTCTCTCTCGTGTTTGTGTGCCCGTTCAGTAAGTGCTGGACAGTGATAAATTGGAGATCGGATCAACCTTTTCTTGCATTGAAGGTAAGAACTTCAGTCCTCTTATCTTCAAGTATTTGGTTTGAACATGACATTTAACATTTTCCAGGGATTAAATTAAAACTTGCAATCATTCCTCACTTGAACTTTTGGGCTTTGATTCACTATATGTTGTANATTTGGTTTGAACATGACATTTAACATTTTCCAGGGATTAAATTAAAACTTGCAATCATTCCTCACTTGAACTTTTGGGCTTTGATTCACTATATTGTAATCGTGCAGCAATTATGGTGAATAATAAGGAATCAAACAATTAAGAAAATAAGAGAAAATAACACAGAAATTTACGTGGTTCGGCAATGCGCCTACATCCACAGGAGCGAGCGGCCGTTCTTTTTCATTATTGAAAGTAGGGTTACATCTTAAGTATTTATATAACCCTAGTACGGACGTATTTACAAAATAGCCCTGTACCGTACCGCAGAGCTTTGTCCCCGCACCCCCAACTAATCAGCGTCTCCCTATATATAAAATATATCAATCCCGTAAGGCAGATGCCGTCGCGGGCTCCGCTCCGACATCTGCCTCCTTGTCTTTGTACACACAGTNTATTTACAAAATAGCCCTGTACCGTACCGCAGAGCTTTGTCCCCGCACCCCCAACTAATCAGCGTCTCCCCCATATATAAAATATATCAATCCCGTAAGGCAGATGCCGTCGCGGGCTCCGCTCCGACATCTGCCTCCTTGCCTTTGTGCACACAGCAAATATGAGTCATACATACTCTAACGTATATGTCTATATTAGAAATTGAATAACACACTAATAAGCTCAGCTGTAAGATTGAAACTGTCTTCTGTATGTCTTTCATATGGTTGGGCCATATGTTTGATTTGCTGCACTGTTAAATACATTCTTGGTTGATAGTGGCTGCCATCACCTTCCTAAAACGATTTTTGTATAGTTAAGCTTGGCATTATTTTGTTTGTGTTGTGCCTGGCTATTGTATTCGATTGTTCTCATACCAAATATAGCGTTTACATTTGTGAAATCCGCTCAACAACGTTTTCCCCCCTTTTTTATTGTGTTATCATAATCCTATTCTTGAACTAAATGCCTAATTTTATCTAATAATTTTACAGGAGTAACATTGTGGAGGCCCATATTCAAGTACAGTGCCTACTGAAATCGGAGTATACACCTGAAGAGATACAGAGCATTAACATGGTTTCCATACAGGATCTTCAAGAACAACTTGACAACATGCTGTTGGGTAATTCTGACCTCTCTGTCCAACCGTCTTTCTGTCTGTGTCTTTCTTTCTGTCTCTCTCTCTCTCTCTCTCCCTCTCCATCCCCTCCCTACGTATTCCCAAATTGGCCAATAGTCATGAAAATTAATGCCATAAAAGCCACACTCCCTCTCTTCACCTTCCTCATGTCCCTCTGTCTCTCTTAAATTCACTCTCAGCGCAGCCCCACAGATTTTCGACCTCCTTTCTACATCTCAATTGCTACTCTTTAAGCTATTCTATTCATGACATATAACTGAAGAATATCTATACTTCAGTTACCAAACTTTCAGATTCTCAGTTGTGGATTCTTTACTTGTTGCAAATTGATTTGGACAGTATAACTACTACTTCTTTCACTAGCTTTTGTATTTTCATGTGTTCCCATTTTAACCACTGGCGCGATTGCAATGATCACAAGCAGAGTAGGAAAAGGACGATCAAGAACGATTAATCATATACATGACTCTTCCATTCGTTGTACCAACCGATGCCACCGACCAATTTTGCTTTCGACTTTGAATTGATTAGACTTTTGGATACATATATTGGGGATTTTTTTGAGATCACTTCAATTTTTTCTGACTGAGTTGCTATTCTGGTATAAAATATGACCATCTACTTATGTATTTATCAAAAAAAATCTTTAATTTTGAATATTTTTTTTTATCTCTTTAGGATTTTAAATAGGAGCTCTGGAATGTGGTCTCGCTGAACATGTAGAAGGAGAGTCATTGTCGGATAAGAGAGCGGAAAAGCCTCAGTTTTGATTTTTTATCTTCGGACTCGAATTCCTTAAAGTTCCAACTTCGCCGTCATCAGTTAACGCCAATATGTAGATGTTGTTCAGGAGGGAGAAACGAGTTTACAAGGCCTTCGGTTGGGATGATGCACAAATCGGTTTTGTACAAAATCAACAGTCAAGAATATAAATAAAGGCAATCAATAAGCAGTAAATAGACAATTAATGATAAAACAGTAAATATGGAATCAACACAAAATTTATAATGGTTCGGTCCGAATGACCTACTCTATTATTAAGAACGACAGCGGTGGTCGGAGATCTTTATTAATAAATAATATTACTAGGAAAGTAATTCCGGGAGTATTACAATGTTTTGAAGAGAGAGAGCAATGTGTGTAGGGNTTACTAGGAAAGTAATTCCGGGAGTATTACAATGTTTTGAAGAGAGAGAGCAATGTGTGTAGGGAGGTGTAGTGTGTGTAGGAATCTTGTAGAGGTCTCAAGGTCATCAAAGGTATATCCTCTATGTAGAAAGGACTTACATTATATGGGGATGGTGAGGTGGTGACGTGAGAGAGAGGGCTTCCACAATTTTGGTAAGTACAATTTAGGTAAGATTAGATCTTCGTGCTATCCCGATATTCTCTCCCTCGTGCTCCTATTCAGTTGGAGGAAGACTCTGAACTAGGTTGGACTTGAGTTGAAATGGCAGAGTCAAAAGGGCGAAGGACCTCATGAGGCTACGCAGGAAAGGGAACATGAGACAAAGGAGGGATGGAATCCCCTTGGGGTGGCCCCCCTTTGCAGCAGCCCCTTGGGGTGGCCCCCCTTTGCAACAGCCCCTTGGGGTATCCCCTTGAGGGTGTCTCCCTTGGACTCCTCCTTGATTTTGGCTTCTCCTTGGCTTGGGCTCCTCCTTGATTTGTTGATTTGGACTCCGAAGTGACGTGGACCTCTATTGATTAATTGGATTTGACCTAGTTAATTTCGGATTCATCATTAGCCCCCTATGCCCCAAGCCTCTGACTTTTACGAGAGAAAGTGGATGTGGGCATGTGCTTCGTCTTCATCGAAGTAAGTCGGAATTTTTCATGTCTTTAGGACTCCGTTATATTTATCGGTATCAAAAAAGATTTTTTTTTCTTTTTTCTTTTCTTCTTCCTTCTTGGCTTGGTTGGGCGCCGCCCTTGTTGACTTCTCTTCTCTCTTTTTTTTTTCCTTGGTCTGCTAGCTTGTTGGGCCAGCCCTCCTCCCCTCTTTCATTATTTTTTTTTTCTTCTTTCTTCTTGGCTGTCCTGGCTGGGCGCTGCCCTCTTCCCCTCTTTTTTTTTTTTTGTTTTTTCTTTCTTCTTTCGTTCTTGGCCTGGGTGTCGCCTCTTGCACTCTTTTCCCTCTTTCTTTTTTTTTTTCCTTTGGCTTCTTCTTGGGCGTCGTCCTTTCTTTCTCCTTTTTTTTTTGTTTTTTTTGTTTTCTCTTTTCTTCCTTGCTTCTTCTTGGGCGTCACCCTCTCTCTCTCTCTCTCTCTCTCTCTCTCGCTTCTTCTTGGGCTGGTTGGGCATCGCCCTCTTGGGCACTGACTCCTCCTACTTTGTTTTTTTTTTTGGGTGTTAACTGCTCCCTTTCTCTCTTTTTTGTTTCCTTTGTTTCTTCCTTGGGCGTGGGTTTCCCTAGGCGATGCCTCCTTTCCTTCTTTTTTTTTGGCATCCTTTTAGTGTCAATGGAGGCTGGTATGGTGCTTTGAGTGACGTCAGGAGGTTGAACAACGCCTTGAACAATGCCAGGAGGCTGGGTAGGCGCCTTGGGCGACGCCAAGAGGTTAGGTAGGCGCCTTGGGCGACACCAGGAGGCTGGTCAGGCACCAGGAGGCCTTAGGCACTGCTATGTTTGGCCAAGCTACGTCATAGGCCAAGCTACGTCATAGGCCAAGCTACGTATAGTCTCGGGAGATGACTGCTGTGGCAAACACTTGCGCAAGAGCAAAGTCATAGACCGAGCTATGTATAGTCTCGGGAGGTGGCTGTCGTGACAGAGGCTTAATAAGTGACTTGCACGAGAGTAGAGTCATAGGCCGAGCTACGTATAGTCTCAAGGAAGTGGCTTTCGTGGCAGAGACTTACTAGATGACTTGCGTGAGAATAGAGTCATAGTCCAAGCATGAGAGGCGCCTAAAATGGAGAGGGCGAGACCCCTCGTCTAGAAGGCATCATGGGAGGTGCCCAAGGTGGAGAGTGTGAGACCCCTCATCTGGGCGGCGTTGAGGCGCCCAAGATACAGAGGGCGAGACCCTTAGTCTTGGCGCCTGGTGTTGGGGTCGCGAGCGCCTTTTGTCTACACCTCGTTGTTAAGTCATGTTTTGACTTTTGTAAGCTATTTGTAATTTTTAGAAGACAAAACAATTCTGGACCCAATAGTATTCACAGAATTTTATTTCATAAAATAATTAATAACAGAATAAATAAACTAAAAGAATAAAGAATAGAGGAGAGTCACTGGTTTTCTCTCTCGTCCTCCTGCGCAGGTACATGAAGAGGGGGAACATGTGAGCTCCTTTTGCGCTGAGGAGGGACTATTGGGCGAGGGGCGCCCTAATGTGGTCCTGGAGTGTTCTGGTGAGGGGCCTTATGGTGGGGGGCTGTCTGGCGCCCAAAAAGGACAGGTTATTGCTCTTCTCCTGTTGGAGGGAGTAGGGCTCCTCCTGTAGGGTAAGGGGTGACGCCCCCTTGGGCGAGCATGAGCTGGATGATTTGTTGGTTTTGGTTCACCAGCAACTGCATGGTTTGAAGGAGTTGTTGTTGTTGCCCGGCAGGAGTCGCAGTAGCAGATGGCTCTGACGGTGCGAAGGGAGGCGGAGCGTCCTCCTAGTGAGTCAGGTTATTGTCTTCTGGATGTTGGCTCATTGATCTAGTAGTGATTGCCATTGATCAAAAGAGTAGGAAAACTAGTCATTCCCATAAACGACGCCAAACTAATGATGCACAAATCGATTTTGCGCAAAATCAACAGTCAAGAATATGAACAGAGGCAATCAATGAGCACTAAATAGGCAATTAATGGTAAAACAGTAAATATGAAATCAACACAAAGATTTATAGTGGTTCGGTCTGAGTGACCTACTCCATTCTCAAGAACGGCAGCGGTGGCTGAAGATCTTTATTGATGAATAATATCACCGGGAGAGTAACTCCGGAAGTATTACAATGCTTTGAAGAGAGAGAGAGAACAATGTGTGTAGGGGGGTGTTGTGTGTGTAGGGATCATGTAGAGGTCTCAAGGTCATCAAAGGTATATCCTCTACATAGAGAGGACTTACATTATATAAGAATGGTGAGGCGGTGACGTGAGAGAGAGGGTTTCTACCATTTTGGTAAGTACAATTTAGGTAAGATTAGATCTCCGTGCGTACCCTAATATTCTCTCCCTCATGCTCCTATTCAATCGGAGGAGGACTCTGAGCTGGGTTGGACTTGAGTTGGAATGGCAAAGTCAAGAGGGCGAAGGACTCCATGAGGCTGCGCAAGAGAGGGAACATGAGACAAAGGAGGGAGGGAATCCCCTTGGGGTGGCCCCCTTTTGTGGCAGCCCCTTGGGGTATCCCCTTGAGGGTGTCTCCCTTGGACTCCTCCTTGACTTTGGCTTCCCCTTGACTTGGGCTCCTCATTGATTTATTGATTTGGGCTCCGAAGTGTCGTGGACCTCTTTTGATTAATTGGGTTTGGCCTAATTAATTTCGGGCTCATCAAGTTGTGAAAAAGGTTCACTTACCATCTCACCAGGAAGCTTCCTCGCAGGTACAAATATAATCGTGAGGTTTTTTTTTTCTTCTGGGTTTCGTTTTCCCATTATTTATTTGTATCTAGGGAACAAATTAATATGAGTGCGTTTGATAACGTTTTCGTTTTTATGTTTTTTTTTATGAAAAAAATATAACAAAGTTTATTTTTTTTTGTGATAAAAATTAAAAATATAAAACATGTTTGGTAGTCATTTATATTTAAAAAATTATAAAAATAAAAATAAAAAATATGTTTGATATTATTCCAAAAATTTACCTCCCAACACCACCACCAAACAGCCACCACCACCACCACCGACACCCACCAACCAAATTCATCGAAATTCATCCCCACCCCTACCACCGAAACCCAGCAAC